TTTTTTCTTTCTTTTTTTTCTACAAAGTTGTCTTCCCACTGATCACTAGTCACTACTGTCACTATGGACACATTCGCATGCATGCTTTGGAATATAGATCGAAATGAAAAAAAAAATCTTCATTAAAACCATGTTGTCATGAAGAGATTTTGACGATTGCGATGCTTCGAGTCTTGTTCAAGTGGTGATAAATTTTGAACCACATCATAAACGACACAAGCAATCAATTTCACCATTGATGCTGTGATTTATATGTGACGAAGATTAAATTGTGATTTGGTTAAATTTAGGCGACTTGATTCCTATCCATATTCTGGTTTTCGAGATACAGCCGAAATGATAACGATGATATTATAACTGTATGAAAGGACAGTATTTTGAGGACTGTGTAAATGTTGATCTGGATAAAGTTGAAACTGTTCACACGTCGTATGGCATCTGCAACGAATTGAAACTTATGTATATGGCATAGCATACGCATGCGTTTTACATGAATATTTCAAAAGACCTTTTTTGCGTCTTCGCTTAAAATAGAATCGATTTCGACGTTTTAGAACTAAATGCACACAACCATCACTGGATGATGATATAAAAATGGTCACCATACAAGTTGAGTGTTTTATACGGAAAGATACGTTCTCAAAATAGATTTTAACAGAGTCGATAAAACAAAGACACAACTAAACCTGCATCGAGACTTGGAGCCCATTCGCTTGGTTGCGATCATTTTATGGACTATCAGAACATGCAATGACGCAAACATACAGCAGCATTCACCGAAATTACATTGTTCATGTTCACACTAGTGAAGGTACCGAATGTGTCCATCGATCTTGAAGTTTTATTTCATTCTTCTTCGAATGTGATGCCGTTGAACATTTTCTCATTTCATTTTGAGAAACTCAAATCAGAAATAAGCAATTACAATCACACAAGATCTACAGCAACACTTGTACTCATCACAATCTATATTCATTATTATTCACTATAGAATAGCTCTCATTCGATTTATGAATTCATTTTTTTGATCACGATAAATGAGATGAACCGAAAACAGTATGCAGTAAAATATATCGTTAAGTTAATAAACTGATCCATATTTTCAATGATGACTCTATGTAATTGCAAACTCGAGAATAATGGATTTCATTGTATATTTACCGAGCGAACAAATGAAATGCACGGCTTTTCTTCGATATTATTCAAACGGCAAATGCTACGTCATTTTCATCATAATAAAAAAAAAAAAATTAAGAATCGTGTAAGCATCAAGAGTTCATTTAATCAGCAAAAGAGCATCGAGTCTAGCGGTTGCAGTAAGCGATTTTCCACATGAAAATGTTGAATTCGGGTAAAAAGAAAGAAAAACAGAGCACGGCATAAAGAATTGGAACGAGTGCATGTTGGAATGTTTTTCGCTGAGATTTTTCTACGTGTCAGTTGGTTCCAATCGTTTTTCTTCACTTTGGTCATTGGGAGAGATGAATCGAGGCTGAGAGGATCGCGTTCTTAAATGTGTTTTCGATGAAAGAGATAACGGTTGGTGCTGTTACTCGAGCTGCTCGAATTTTTCGTTGTAGTGCATATAACGCTACTTTGTTCGGAATACAAAAGAAGAAAAAAAGAAACAAAAATGTCGATCGACAAAATGAAAATTAAACGCTAGGAAGTTTGTGATTCCGATTTGCCCATTCGTTTATTCCACGCTTGTTTCGCAGTTTCGCTGGGGATAGTCGGGGTTTTTATTGGTGCATGTGAAATAAATATCAGTAGCTGTCATCTGTACTGCGTGCTGCTATGCTTTACTACGATTTTATTTCTTTATAACACATTAAACCCATTTTGAATTTATCTTCGTGGCTGGGCTTTCATTTTGTGAACATCGAGAGAAGATCAGCGAAGAAATTAAACATTTTTTTCTATCTTCTTTGAATTGAAAGCGGATGAAATCTATGGGTTTTTGTGCGCTCAATAGACAATAATCCCGTTGATTGTGGAAAAGTGGAGAAACAGTCGTCCATCAAACCGACTGAAATCGGATGGAATCTGTGTAACGATCACTGCATGCACTTTGCTTCGGTAACGGTCAATCAACAAGTCGATTCTTATACACTCTCTTTCTCGGCATTGATACAGAGAGGATGAAAGCATTGGATCTAAGTAATTACGTTTTGAGTACCATCTTATTCAATTGAATTGTACCCATAGACGAATCTCTTTTGAAATGCAATCGCTTGCTCGTTTTTTCGTGATTGTTTCACATACCATTCGCACTACCTGTGAATGCAGTTATCTCATGCGCCGACGCGACCGTGCCATAAAACTTTTTGTTTTCGTTTTTTTTCTATTTGAAATTAAACTTCTCGAAATAAATTTTCACTGTGAGTTTTTTCAGTTAAAATAAAAGTAATAAAGGTTTATTTTCAGGTTGGATATCGTGTTCTTTGAACTTGCACGAAAAGCCATAATTTAGACGAACTTTCATCTGTTAAGAGAAGAAGCCGAGTACAGCTACAAATCCGCTTACAACTTTTTTTTCTTCATTTGTTTGTTTGTCTGAATGCTCTAAATCGGTTTCTTTCGGTGTTTTTCGTCTTCTTATTCGTTGATTGTTGAAAATCTTCAAGTACGCAGAATGCATGTCGCTGCGTCTGAAGCTACACCGCGCGCGATTTATTCACGATAAATATTTATTCAACGAATTATCACTGGTCTCGTTCCTCATCATTTATATTAAAAATAATTTGTTATTCCACATTTTCTCCTTGTATTTGCCCATGTTTGAATTAAATTTACGACCGAATCGTGTGTACCGTTGAAAAAGGGCAAGAATAAAAATATGAACACAGTCGGCGATTTATCTTGAAAATTGAACGTCTTAGTGAAAAGAACACAATTATCATCATATTTATAACGAATTCGAATAAATGCAATGTTATTCATTAACCACGACCACATGTGCAACCAATCTCTTTTGACGTTTAATCGTGAAACTGTTCAAGTGTTAATTTGTCTATGCCACCAACATCGCTAGGATTTATTCCCTTCCTGTGTACTGCACTCAGTTTACAGATGAAATGTTTAATTTAAACAAAACCGACAAACCGACCAAGCAATCTTCAAACAATTGACCGCTTATTGATATGGCGATCAGTTTCATCGATCGGCATGGAATGGTGGGCAGAAAGTGTGGAAAGTGTTAAAATTGCATTCTGATGCGCGCATTATTTTTACGCTTCTTCGTTCTGGAAAGCCTCACTTCCTCATCTCGGCGAGTCACGCGAAATACGACGTGCCGATCAAAAGCGAATCACACGCAGGAACAAGAGCACACACAAAACGCGGTTATTTTTATTCAAAAAGAGTTCAGAGGCTTTTACTTACTTAATTGCTTCTGCGTCGATTTGTTTGCATAGCTTCTTTTTGTGAATGAAATGGCCAAATGCATTTATAGGTCATCTGCACACATGCCACTTCATGCATGGAACGCAGTGTAGACATTAAAAAGAAAACAAGTCGATTTAGATAGTTTTACTTTGCTACGTTTTCCGGAATTTCGCATTTCGTTCAATAAATCATACAAATGGCACTTTGCACGAACAAGCAGTTCCATTCATGTTGGCACTGGGAGTGAGTAAGCGAGTGAACGAGCGAGCGAGTGATCGGTATGGTTGAGTTCAGTAGCCGGTGTATTTCGGTTTCGTTGCATTTGTGACTGATTTATTCGGTCGATAAAGCACAAGACGCTCGTCAATTTTTCGCTTTTTCTTTGCCGTCATTCAAACTGTACAATCCATATCTGTTAAATAGACTGAAGTAGAATGTGAAAGAAAGGTGGTGAACGAATTGTCGATCGCTTTGAACCGTTTTAATTCATTTAGGTTTGTTTCTTATGCTTCTTTTTTCTCCTTGATAAAACTGCAGGAACACACACAAGCAAACGCGCAAATACACAACACCAATATTCATTATTAATATTCATTCGCTCGCTTGTTCTTGTGACTTGGTCCAAAGAAATGAACACATACTTAAAATTCTTCTTGTGCAATTGCATTTAACACGTACTCATGAAACGAACGAACAATACAGTTCTTCGGATTGCGCCTATGTTCCGCCAGAGCACTATGCCATTGTTCGTTCAAGTCAACACGTACATTGCACTTGAGCATCACCTTTTTTTTCTCTATAAATGCATTTTGTTATACGTTCTTTTGAAGCTGCTGCTGCTTCAGCAATTCACACACAAGAGGGAAAAATTGGTTTCCATATTAAGCGCTCATACGTAATCATTATGGAATAGCATTAACATCATCATCATCACCAATATTTGCCATAAATTTTGCAATGCTTGCAGTGCGCGTCATTCAGAGCAGTACCTCAAGCAGCTCTATTTAATACATCTCTACGACTCTATCGTACAGCGAAGTTTCTTACATTTTCTCAATCATTTTTAATTTTATATTCGATTCCCTCTTGCAATAACGAACCGTATCGCTTTTTTGTTGCTTTTACTGTTGATTTTTGCAGAAAAAGCCGCATTTATGGAATTTTTTTCTTGATTTTCTTTCACTTGGTGAGTTATCAATAGAAAAAATCCACACGATAATAAAATTGTTATGATTTAAAAATATTTTTATGGAGGAAGTGATACTCATTTTCTTACGGCGAGCAGAAAAAAAAATCAACGCTTTGGATGAATATAGGTGAGAAATGCACTTAATTAGATGGGAACCAGACCGGCTCCAAAATGCCTTAATATAGCTAAATGGATCACACGTACGCTACGAGAATGACTCGATAGATTTAATCGAATGAACGAGTCCACTTCGAATTCAAGCGAAATTGTCATTAATGCCCCCTTTTTTTCTCTTTATGTTCTCGCCAGTTTCATACAAATAACTACTTTCTTGGTAAACGCATTAAGATCGACAATTGTTACTTCTTCTCTGCTCGACCTAAGCCTTATCGCTGTACGGAATAAAGTAATTTTTTTGCCTTACCTTTTCTTGGCTTTGCCAACGTTATATAATTCAACGTGCTTGAATGCCGCGTATGTAGCCATTATTCACTGTATTTTTTTAATATTTGTGTGTCTGTGTCGGTACTACTTATGTGTCACTGAATTTTTGTGATTAATTTTCTAGTTCTTCTTTTGCCTAAATGACGCAAAAAAACCAATTCTATTACTTCCTTTCAAACGAACACGACATCTTCTTTTTTTTAATTTGTGGCTTAATCAACATTTCCATTACGACGACAACGACGATGACGCGGAAAAACATGTTCGCTTATTATTTACAACCGACAGAAAATGGAGAAAATCAATGCTTGCAGAGTTTGCAGGGTGGAAAAATGACAGAGAAAGAGACAGAGAGTGGGACCGGTGAAATCGATTTTGTATGATTTAGAAAATTATGATTCTAAACGACGCATTATTTAGAATCAGAGAGAAATCATTTGCAAACGCAGCTCAGTTGAGGCATTTCACGGCATAAAAATTGGATAGAGGCCGTACACATTATGCATTGCACAAATACACACGTAAACACGCACACATAGCACATTCAATTTAAGGTGAAGGATAATGCAGCTGGAGAATTGTCATTGAATATGATGTGTGTTGTGCAAGAACAAATTGGTGTTGACAATGTTTCAGAGAAAAATCATTGAGCTGCTTGTTTGCGAACAGCCCTTCGATGCTAGCGATGCTGATGGTTTTCCAGAATGGAAGAAATCAATATTTATCACATATTTTCATGCGGATGTTTGAAACACACATCGATATGACGCACAATGCACTTGCAACTCAGCAATTTTATTGATCGCATCGCAATGGAAATGAACATAATAGCCACAAACAAAAACACTACATTTTTCTGAATGAAAAATCTTACAATTTTCGCGTTCTTTTTTCTGCGTCTTTTTTCAAAAGACAATCTAAAACACGAAACGATTTTTCAAACGAATAAAAAAACGAAACTGTTTTGAATTAATTTGAATGAATTATAAAGTTAATTTCAATAACATCTACTGTTATTTTTTTTTCTTTTTGTTTTGATATTTTTCGAACGAGCCGTGAAAAATTACATGAACCGTACACAATAATGACAAACCGAAGACTGACTATGGCATTTGAAGAATGGAACGCATTTATATGTGCTCGTTGAGTCGATAATTTTTCGCTCACAAAGCTCTTTTTTCCAACATGATGCGGAGAGCTATACGCAGTGGAAGCTCGCTCCCAGACGGCAGTCATATGTTCGAAAATAAGGGGAAATGGTAATCAAGAGAAAGAAACAAGAACGCAGCATAGAAATCATTTCACACGCGGTATGTTGTTTTCACCAGCAAAGCAGCCGGAGACAGTGCGGTTGTTCACAAGCTCTGACGTACTTCTCTCAAACAGCTGATTCGTAAATCGAAATGGACGAAGTGGGGAACCGCAACGACTCTCTCTCTCTTCCTCTCCATAGATATGTCTCTCCCAAGCTTTTTGGTTGCTCTCTCACTCGCGACGCTCTCTTCCGTTCCGTCGACAAGTGAATCGCTCTTTTGATCGTAGTTGCTTTATAAAAAACACGCTAGCGCGAGTTCAATGAATTCAGTCGTGGCAAAGCGACTTCATGTCGCTGCAGTCGAAAAATATCAAAATGCAAGAATTTCGGTTCCGTTGAGTGAGCTGCAGGTTTCTGTGACTCAGTATCAGCTCCGGAATCTTGAAATAGACGAGTCGGCTCGTGTGCAACAGCACAGCACCAGCAGCGGCAGCGACAACGGATCAAATTAAGACATTTTTCTGCACGCGTTAATTGACTTCTAGAATGTAATGATTGAATGTCTAATGGGTTCTCGTACTGTTTGATCTTTGACATAAATGATGGTAATTGAATGCGTGTGAATATGAGCATGATATAAAAGTAATCGCATCATTACAAAACAATGAGTTATTTATTCGCGTATCAACTTGATGCTTTGAGGGGTTTGAAGTCACAGCACAAAGTATTGCGCCAAGTATTGTGTTTCATCGCAATTTGCATAGGTGTTCATCGGTGTGAGCGTACGTATGGGCACACTCATCAAGATGAGGTGTATGTTCCACACTTGTGATTTTACAGCTGTTTCTTATCCGCAACATAAAAAGCATAGTACTTGGAATTCTAATTATAGCACGCATTTTGACTGAAACAAGAACAAGACCATTCGCAAGTGCGACATTAGACACGAACCAAAGTTATTTGTGACTGCATTTCGCACACTCAAACTGATTTGCATCGGGGCGCACTGCACTCTATGGCGGCTGGGAAAAACTGTCTATTTTAGTTAGCAAATTGTACATTTAGTGATTCATGTATGTTTGCTCACGGCGATAGTTTATAAATAACACCAGACTGAAGTGAATTGAACAGTGCGGTTTCAATTTCAACCCAATGCTAACTCCGATTTCTTACCACTACCGGACGCACACTTGATGGTAAACTGAACGAATGAACGATACGAAATTTTTATTCACCATTTACTTGATATTTAATTAAATGACTTTCAGCAGGTTTTGCAAAATCGCACAATTTCAATTCATTTCGTGCAATTTAAATCCTCGGATTACTCTACGATGGTAAATAGTGATTTTAATGTAAATATATCGTAGTTTCCAATAAAATATGTACACTGTTCATTGTGCCGGTTAATTTGTGCGAGATGCAGGCCGACCGGAATCATTAGAACAGGCGATTAATGTACAATTTTTTGTTGAAATAGTTTTAAAAAATCGCTGTGAAAAAATGCAATAGAGAAAACGAAGCTCTGAGCGATATTTTTATGGCCGGCATGTTCGTTCACCTAAGGAAGATGGTTTCCAATTTTTCGATTAAAATCACCGTTTTCAATTATACCGTGTTGCTGCTCTTTGGTTTATGATACATTTGCAATCGGAATGTGAAATTAAATTTCAAAGCAATTTTTTGAAATTTTTCGCATCACAGACCGAGAAAATTCAATATTGAATTTCAATCTGCACACAATTCAGCTGAAATCAATCATGTTTCTCCGGTCCAGAGCAAAGAGTGATTTGCGACAATGATTTTGAGTTGATTGAATGATCTTTCTGACACCATGCTTATCCGAGCGAAACCATTCCAATGTTTTGGATCGCTACTCTGTATCATTATTTGTATTGACATGTGTAACGCTCGCTGCCTATGTTCTTTGCCATCGTGAAGTGGCCGCGAACAAAAGCGTCTGTGTGCTAAAAGAGAAGAGAACACAAATACGAAAGTCTAGAACGCTGTTAATTTCGTCAGGTTGTCTTGATTCGATTCGCGTTTGTCATATTCTTGTTTCACAACAACAAAAACAACAGCATCCACACAATGTGGAAATGTCACGCTCATTCAGACAATGAAACGCTGAAAGCCAGCTGCAAGAAAATTTAGATAAGAAAAACGTCTCTGTTTTAGTATAAAAAATAATTTACGACAAATTTTCACGCATATTTTAATAATGTTGAACATTTCTATTGTTGCCGCGACCGACGCAGCGGCAAAAGTCAGTCTCATGCGCATAAAAACTGTAGATTGAAAGATTTCAAAGTGACGCCGGCACGATTTTCATTTCAAAATTTCCTCCTACCATTGCGGCAGGTGAAAAACTCAACATTCTTCTAAAGTAAATAATACAAATGAATGGTGACACAGATACATTTTCTTATACTTGCCACAGTTTTGGAGTCAGATTGATTTTGTGATGTGTGCAGTATTTGTGTTTTGATTGCATGTTGGTGTCAAAAACTCGTGCCATTTTAGTATGAAAGGGAAAGAAGTGAAAGATTTCAATTTCTTTGTTTGGTTTACTTTGTTTTGCTTTGCTTTGTATTGTGTGAGTGTTACATTGAGGCTCTCTCCCTCTGTTCGGCACTTCTCATTGTTTCGATTTCTTTACAAAATTGATTCTTTCTTCTACGCGCACGACCTAACGGAGAAAATCAGCACAATTCACTTGCCTCTCTTTACTGTATATTGGTGGACTTGCGCGCGGTGAATTGTAGCATTTCATACTGTGATGCGGTGCCACAAATCGTTTTTAATTGAATAAAATACGATTTAATTAGCTGATGGGCGAAAGAGCTAAATGAAACACACACACGAATACATATAGACGACAAGACAGTGTAATCTATTCTTTTGTACAACGGAGATGCACTTGGGAAAAGTGATAAATTTTCAGTAATTCCATACATTTCTTTTTCTTCGAGACCAATGTACAGTTGTATGTCTTTTGATGTATCGCCCAAATGAGTAAATGTCTTGTTTTTAATGTTAAGGCAAATATAGGCTAATGGGCAAACGGTATTAAATTGTTGAATGAGTGCATTCGTACCCGAAATGAGGTCGAACGTATTAAAATATCGTATTTTTATGGTTAATTTAGCGAAAAGATGATCGAAGTCTGGAATTTACATCACATTCGGTTGGATGGAATCACGTTTATTCTAACAATAAGCGATACATTCGATTCATTACTGCGCAAAATCAGAATCAAAAATTTGCATTTTTATTCGTAAATCCTTGAACTTCACGCTCGAAAAATTATTAAAATAAGCCTAGAATAAAACACAAGATATATAAGTCGTTAATTTTGTGTCATTTTATTCCAATTATAGGTTTGTGATTTTTTTTATTTTCAAAAACCGATGCTGAGTGACAACGAAAACAAGCGTTTTTATAAATAAACATTGAGCCAATTGTTGTGGTTGAGATTTTTCTGGTTCCGATTGATCGAATTTTGCGTCTGCTCCTCCTCTTCTTCCTGATTTCGGTGATGGCTCAGTGAGCAATCATTTGCTTTTTTTTCTCGGAAATGAATATGGGAATTAAAATTGATTGAAAAAAGCCAAGGCAAATAAGAAAAAGTGGAAAATAGGTTTTCTCGGGGAAATTACTTCTTCAGTTGATTCGCCACGAAATTTCAAATCACATCAACGGAAACGCGCATTTTGCGAAAGGAGACGACGTAATGCAAAACCATGAAAATTCGCCTCGTAAACCATAGGGAGAAAACGAAAATGCTTTCACTTTTCACATAAAACCAAACACCCAATCGAATGGATTATTTTTATTGGTGATGCAGTTCAAATGGATCTATTCGACAGCCTCTTTGGAGAGTGCATGGAGTGTATATGTGTATGTGTGCGCGCGCGAGTGAGCGTCAAATACAGTTAATGGCAACAATAAAAATTGACAGACGCGAAGAAATAAAGTTAGACGTCAGAATGGCTTCACATTTCATGTAAGTCAGCGATGCTTGGATTTAGATTTGGACTTGGATGTAATGAAAAGATTTTCGTCATTTTGGTGTGCGCCTGTGAAAACACGTTGAATGCGTTGGCAATTGACATTTTGCGCGACCACCGCTTAACATTTAACATAAATGAGGTCCATTAAAAACGATTCAGTTTGTGGAAAATTTAATAAAAAAAATTGTTATTATTTGCGATTCATACCGGGCCGGTTTGTATGAGCACTCACAAGTCAATATAATATTATCACAGCGGCTGATAAATTGCGTTGTACTTTTCTCTGATTTATTTACTTTTGAAAGCGCTTGTGTAGCGATCACGACACCGATCAATGTAGGAAATCATGCCGCATTGGCTACCAATGGGAGAACAAGAAAAAGGCGCGGCATTTTGATGATTTGCTGTGATTATTGTAATTTTTCTTAATTTGGTTTCGTATTTGAACCTTCGATTTCTCTATCTCTCTCCATCTGGCTTTCAGTAATAAAATTCCCAATGCGATGTAATGGAGCCTAGTCATAAGCCAGTTAATGACAAATTAAAAAACTCCGTCTTCTCATCTGATGCTCCAGTAGTTTTGCTTCCTATTACTTCAATCAAATGCCCACGGGAGTGTTGTTATTCAAGAGATGCAACCACATTGTGTCTGGTTCCATCTCGTTCATTAGTTGCCATTATGAAAATTCATCATGTAGCGTGCTTTATCATCACGTACAACTCAAGTTTGCAGGCAAGCTGTTTACGTGTTCATCAATCTTAAAAATATCTTTTCAAGAACTTCCGTTCTGAACGAGTTTCAGCTCCCGAATCCAAATGTCGGACAGACGATGAGAACTGCGATACATATTTTCACAATTGAATTGACTGTCACCGTGAAATGAATAATCAAAAAAATTGTTCAACCGTTTATATTTTTCAACGTAAGAACGGCGTTTATTTTTGTTTTCAGTGCCAGTTTCTCAAGTTGATTTATCTGATTTACCGCCGAATCAAAGTAAAGAAAAAAGAAACGCCGGCTTGTGATTGTTTTTTGTGGCTCAACTTGGTGTCACAATGTCTATCGTTTGGCCGGCGAAAAATAATATTTTGCACCTACTTCATTATGTAACACAATGTCGCGGTGTAAAAAGCAAATAATAAACTTAACAGCACACTTTTCCGTTGTTCAAGCAGAAAAAAAATCTACCGCGAGTATATTTGTCATGCAAACAAAAGCCATTGACCGCGGTCAAGCGCGCTTTGAAACAAATAAAATTCGGAAATGTGTCTCTCTCGTACTTTGTGTTTGTTGCTTCAGCTTCAACTAAAATCACCTACCTCCGCTGAATGAAATCAATTCAACGCCAGACTTGTTTTGCCAGATAAAAAAGTACAAAATTATCGGCTTCGTCTATTTTCCTGGTAAACAGATGACAAAATACTGTACCATTGTTCGTTGTGACTTCATGCTCCATGGATTTTTCAACCAAATAAAATGTTTTTTTAAAAAATGAAATATGCGGTGATAAAAAACATGGACTCATGAACGAGTTTGAGCCGAGATTTTTTGACAAAAAATCAGTCAATAGTAGCCGTGATTCGGTTGCACTCATATATCGAAAACAAAACGATAACTGCGTACAAAATTTAGGTTAATTTTTATGATTCAAATCATAAATTCGAAACGCGACCATAAATAGAACGCAATTTATAGCCCAACAGATTTTCGGCAACGGAACTTCCGGTAGCTTAGTCGCGTTGAATGCTAAAAATGGCCCGAGCAAGCAAGCGAAATCTGAGTTGAATAGTAAGTATTTTCACTTTTCGGTTTGCGGTTTGCTTCAAAATGTATTCCACTAAAACGAAAATATATTAAAAGCAAAACAACATCACAGCATTTACATGATCGCCGCCAGCAAATTTGCTACCGCAATGAAAGTTAATAAATGAGCGTAATTTTCCACACATTTGATATAATTATAAATGGTTTCGAACCAAAATATACGTGTAATTGGATGAACTTTACTCTTTATTCGCATGGCGAATAGCTGGGTGTTAGGTGGTGGCTATCAATTATGTAGGCGTGCTAGTTATTTCAAAGCATATTTGTACTTTCTTGTGATATTACAAATTATACCAGCATCTCTTTCGTTTACTAATCGATTGTGGGAAAAGTGAGCGGCAAAATGCAATTGCATTATTATTATTGAATGCATGGGCCTGAAGGTAATGAAATCAAGAGTGATAAATATTTATGTACGAAAATAAATTTGAAGACTGCATACAAACCGAAAACCAATTTCATTGTGTTTACCCAGAGACGTCAGTCAGTTTGGCATTTTCCGTTGAAGTCGCGAAAATAAAAGATTAAGGTGTTATTTGGGGCTAGCTGCATTTTCAACAAATTAAGAAGAAATGGTAGATTTTGGCCTGGACCTTTCTTGCTTAACATTTGTTATTTTGTATATGTTTGTCGGAACAACTTTTTACAATTTGCAAATAGTTTAGTTTTCTCGAAAATAATTTTTTTTTGCGATCTCTAAAATAGAATGTTCAAAACTGGTCCATTGAACTTCCATTACAGTTTTTGGAGTATTTTTGATGTGTTTCGTTGGTTTGTTAATTTTTCGTGTCTTTCATCTTACTTTGTTGTGTTTTTTGCTTTAAAAATCATCCAATAAAAAAGGTGAAATAGAAAAACAAACCGTAATAACGAACAGTGATCTAGTTTATTGACTATGAAGAGGATATTCGCCATGAAATGTAAATAATAAGATAATGATGATCATCATCGCAGAATTTCCGCGGATAATGGTCGATTAAATTGCATTGTGTTTTTTTTATGCTGTCGTTAAGTCAAATATCGTTTGCTATAAATGATTAGAAGGGAAAGCATCAGTAAAAACCAGAAAGAGAAAAAAAACTGACATATTGTTGAACGTAGAATCAATCTTGAGTTTATGGGTAAATTCAGGTAAATCGCAAAAATGATCTTCTCACGTCTAATTGCATTCGGTTCAGTCGGCACAAAGAGCCGTTTCCTTTTTTACAGTCTCAACTCGAGCAGCCCAGAAAAAGTGTTTCGAAAACACACAAATGAAGTTCAGAGAAATGCAAACGGCAATTTTGCACGAAAGCAAAAAATTCGAAATAACTTCGCTTAATCGGTTTATGTTGTGTACTTTCTAATCAGAATCGCATTGCAGTTTCTCAGCTTGCTTGATTCAACCTAACTCACAAAAGTAGATTACGAGGGCTGAGCGCAGTTTTAATAAGATTTTGAATATTTAATTGAAATTAAAAGGGAATGCCCACGATTGCAAAAGCGCCAAACGATTTAAAAAACGTTAATTTTTGGGTTTTGAAATCAAATTATTCTTGAATAAAGCGCTTGGTGAGCGCATAATACGATCAAGAAACAAAGAAGATTCGCCGCCACGGAATAGTGTTTCGATTGTTGAGAAAAAATTTCTTTGCGTTTATTCTTGTTGAAATTATCGAAATACTTCACAGATTCATCCAAACAACGAAACAAGAATGAATTACGAAAATTGCACAATATTCCTTGTAAAATAGTCTATTCATCATTAGACAAGTTTGAACAAAAAAAAAGTTATGATCAAATCACAATGGGTCCGTTGAGTATGCGCTTTCCGGCTTGATTATGGATCGAGTTGAGAAACGAAAATGCCGAACAATAACCGGTCGTTGAAACGGCGGTCAAAGAAAAGATAAATAAAACGAAACGCTCATACTTTATACAGCTCCATTTAATTTGGTTTATTTATCGAAAACAAAAAAAAGAAAATATTGCGCTGGAATCATGTTCGCTATAAATGCCAACGTCGCTGATACGCGAGCGCCGATTGAGTAGATACATCACAGCTATCAGACAAAATGTATCTGTTCAATTTAAAACACTAGACAATAACAGTTGTGAAGAATACTAATGAAAAATTGGTTAAATAAATAGTGAAGGCATCGCTTAAGCACGTATACTTTGCCTGCTAACGAGCAATAACCAACTAATAACAAAATGAAAATTTTCTTTCACTGCTTCGATTATCTTAACCACATTTGGCATTTATCATTTCATCGCGTTGTTCATTCGCCACTCGCCGCTCACAAAACAATCCAGATTCTAGTTGCGCGATGATATTTTAATTTGTTCACTCTTCACGTCGGACCATGTCTATCTTGTCTCTGCGTTTGATCATATATTCCAATTGACTGCGTCTTTACTTTTCATTAATTTTCTTATATTTGTTAGCAAAGATCTCTTCTAGCTGTGATGTGAGCAGCATCATTATTTTTTGGGCTGGCTGATGTTAGTCAGTAGATTGCGTGCGATAGCTAAAATCTAACTTGACATCGTAATCATAACACATGACATGAATTTCACCAAGAACAGATCATTACGGTTCAAAATCAAAACTGTCAGCTCTTTTGTAATGCCATAAACAAATTCCATTGGGTATTATCGAAAATCAAAACAAGCCAAAGTGTTTGAATGAGAATTCAACGACTTCACTTAATCTTTTGTAAATCAATGGCATTTGAAAATGTTTTAATTTAGATGTTTCTAAAGATCGGATTCACATTGGTGCTTATTCGGAGTTTTCACATCAATGTTTTGACAGCAAAATGATACCGATTGTATTTCAACATTAATCTCATGGGAACTGTTCACCAAAAGGAGCTGGGAGCTAGGCTAAAGCCAAGTAGAGACGAGCTCTGTTAGAAATCGATCATAAGAGATCGCTTAAATTCGAATAGAAATGTTGAAAAGTCAACGGAAAAACACTTTTCCAACGTGATTGTCACTGGCGCTTGTCACCTATCAGATTCTCTACCGGCACCACTTAACTCGAACAATCGCATTACGCTCAATATACAACGTGCATTTTTAATCACTTAATGTTTTTCAATTTCAACTGTTACATTTTCAGCTCAGCCGATTGTGATTGTATAAACACAAGCGAAAGACAGATTTCCCCAAGCAATCAATATGCAAAATTATTGCACTGCCTTGCCTTGCTTTGGTTCAGTCGTAACGTGTTGCACAAAATTGATACAAAAACGCAGAAAGTGAAAGAAATAGATGATGCCCAGACAGACACATGCTGAAGAAAACAAGTGGAAAAACAAACAAAAATAGTACGGTAGTAAATTGATTTTGATGTGTTGTGATGTGAAGTGATGTATATTTTCCATCTTGTCTGGTGGATATGTGAAATGTCTTACGGTTAAATCTTTTTGTTTCTACGTTAAATTGAATGCTTTTCTCATTCTTGTCAATTGGCAACCAGATCAACCGAAAAAGAAATCTTTCGCTCTCGCCGAACGGATTTTTAAGTGGCGTAATAATAATATAATGATATGCACAATTGATTTCATTTTCTTCATTGTGCATGTACCATGTTCGCGATCGTGTTTTGCATACACACATCGCTCTCAGTCGACAATCATTCATCCTCACCGGTAATGTGAACGAGACAATGCACGTCTCTTTTGAATAAATAAATCTTACTTCGGGTGTTCATATGTGTGGCGCATTTTTGGTGAAAAAAATATATATGTAAAGTAAGTTATTCAATTCAATGCACGGATAGGCAATTCAAACACCTTTTTGTTA